ATAAAAGTAGTCGATTATATTACTAAAAAAATACGAAAAATACGATTAATCGTTTTATTTTCCTTTTAATTCTTTTTAATTTTATTTTTTAAAGAAATCTTAAACAATATTTATTCTGCAATTTATATATTAATTTTATTTTAATTTTAAATTTACATACAGTTTTTTAATAAATCCGTAGAAAAATAATCCATTGCTAAATACAGCTAAAAAAAGAACAGTTTTATTAATTTTATTAATTAAAATAAAAGTTTTCATATGAATTTCTTGTAATGCACTCTGCTGGAACAGATAACACTTTGTTCTTGTATGTAATACGAGTACATACAAATTGTTACCTAATCTTTTGCCTCTAACTAAAATAGCTCGCGCAAAATACAGCATAAAGACAATATTTATAACTTAACCTTATCCTTTTCTGGGGGTCTATCTATGATCTTATTGGTCAACACCTAGTAAATTTGCTCACTTTTGTCATTTTCACTACATTGCATGATACAGAATCAGTTTGGCGATGTTAAGTGAAAAGAATCAAATATCGATTACTCGAAAGAAAAATTTACCGGTTGAAAATCTTGATTAATTGAAAAAAAAACTATCGGTTATTTCGATTAATCAAGAAATATTGCCCATCTCTAGGTGTAATTATTTAACATACCGATATTGCAATTATTTGATTTTAAGAATCGATGCAATTCTTCTTGTGCAGACTCGACTTCTTTTGTTTGCTGGTTAAAAGCAAAAAAGTCATCGTGATCGTCGAGGTTTTCGTTAAGATTTGGGGAACTTTCAATAGAACGGATTCCTAATAAGTCTTCTAAATAATTTTTACCAAGTTTTCTTTCTTCTCCATTTATCCAGTTCAACTTGAATTTTGGATGCAAACAACTTGCGATGATTAACTCTTTTTTTCAAATAATGTGGAAAATCTAAAATTATATGTTCAGAATCAATGAATAAATATTGTTCTGTATTAAAAAATAACAAATACATGTGTGTTAATTAAATTAACAAATTACTTTTTATTTAAACCTTGTTGAATAGCTGTAATTAGTGAATGGCAATTCATAAATCCATTTTTGTTGAGTTTTTCTAATTTTTCTTGTAAAGTTTTTAAGACTGGTAATAAGTATCCCATATACATCCCTGACTTACTTTGTAAAATACCTAAGGCTTGTGCCAAAGGTTTCATTACCTAATCCAAAAACAAAATTATCTACATATATTCTTCAACAGGTGTGAATGTTTTGCCTATAAATTTTACATACATACCCAATCAACAAAATGTTTGCAGCCTGCTGGCAGTTTGCGAGCAGATTCGCTCAGAACTTAGCAGCAGATACGGTGCCATCTGTGTCCGCATTAAGCTCGTGTTCTGTCGGCAGAATCTGTCGACATAGGTTGACAGCAGATTGGCGGCAGAAAACGATCAGGATCTGCGCAGTGTAATTTGGTGTCAGATTTCCGGCAGAAATCGAGCAAAACCTGCCGTCACAATTTAAATGGAATAGCGGCATTTAAATGTTTCATTACAATTTTACATTTCTCGTTTTGCTTATTAAAAGTAGTGAATAAAGTATGCAAAATATATAATATATATTTGCTTTATTGGGACAAAAAAATTCTTATGTTTTAATAAATTTGTTAGGCCAAATCCCGAAATCACTGCAATATCGGGTCAACTCGCAGCGCATTTTCAATTTCAAAAATCAGTTTAATATTCTGAATCTTTTATGGGATTGTATCAGAATATTGTATTAAACTGATAAGCTTCATTAAGCCTGGCCACTTTACATGCACTGTAGATGAATCTTGAGTACGAGTTTATATATGAAAAAACACGCCGCACAGCGGTAAACAACATCAAATTGCACTGCACAAATTTTGCTCGATTTCTGCTGCCAATCTGACATCAAACTACATTATACAGATCCTGCGCGACTTCTGCCGCCAATCTGCTGTAATAATTCAGAGCAAATCCTACTCAGTTTCTGCTGCTAATTTGCTGTTAAATTATGTCAACAGGTTTTGTAACATTTCTGCTGACATTCTGCTATTATCATTTAATGTAACAGATTTTGTATACAATCTGCAGTCTTTCTGCTGATAAAAATGTGTAGCAGATGTTTGGCAATATCTGTTAGACAGACAGACAAACGGACAGACGGACAGACAGACGCCGTCTCAGTGCAAGAAAATGTAATTGACAGTACACAGTTTGACGTATCCGTTTTTCGAATATCTACAGTTTTAATGCACGATTGTTGAGGTGAAACACGCATGTCCGGTATGCCTGACATGTCCGACGAGCCGCATATAACTTCATGTGAGAAGGCATTCCTGTCTTCGTGTGTACATAGATAATTTCATAATATAGAGAAATAATAACATAGTAAAAACTTTTTTGAAAAGTAAGAATTTTTACAAAAAATCTTACAAGAAAGATTTAAATTTGCAAAGCTAGTACAATGTAGTAGCTAGTACATTAGTTTACATTGAAAAAAGAGAATTTTCATGCACATTTTTTTCAATTTAGACACTTAGTAATCAGAAATTGTCTAAATTTTCAAAAATTTATAATTTAGACAATTCCTAATTGTCTAAATTGAGAAAAGCTGATATAGTATTCAAGCCATGTCATACTTTTGATACCTACTCTTTTATGCATATTTAATTCAAGGCTGAATGTAATTTTTATATGATTATGTTTCTTGAAAATCTAAAAGTTAAATTAAAAGAATTAAAAATATAGCTTCCTAATATTATTATTTAATTTTATTATATGTTTTGTGTTTTTAATTAATGTCTATTTATTATTACAATTAGTTTTATTATTCATATTTTAGTATTATAGTTAATAATATCAATTTTTATGCAAAAAAGAAACTAAATTATTCCTTCAATTTTATATAAAATAAGAAGTTTATGGGTTATCATATTCCTTATATTGTATATATAATTTGTACAGATTAAATTCATTATTTAAATAAAAGCTGTATTAATTATTATTTAAATTGACTGTTAAATTAGTTACTAGTTACCATAAATGTGTAACTAAGCTAAGTTACAGTTATAGATGAAGGAAAAGGAACGAAGTTAAGTTATAGTTACTAAAAATAAAATAACTGTAACTGTAACTTCGTTATAAGTAACGAGTTACTTTCCAACTCTGATTTTTAGTAGATAATCAACTTACCGCACATTATTTTGCAATAATTTTTGACGATTAATTTTCAGGAAATAAATGATTTATCAAGTCAATTTATGTTTTATGAGTTTTTTATTGAATGTTTCTAACTGTTATCAAGAAACAATGTTGTGTCTGTCATACATGTTTAAAAACTGGTCTTTGTATATTAAAATTTATTATGCGAATGTGACCAATGATCAGTGTTTTTTTCTTTTAGTTTATAATGCGCACTTCCGTTTTACAGAGAGCAAACTGTAGGTCTATTCGTTAAGTTGTATCTTCCGCATTTAATTTCTTCCTCTTACTCCCTCTGCAGGAGAGCTCGAATATACATTTCATATTTATACATTGTTTAAAGTACAAGAGTGCAACTAAAACGAATAGACTTTGTGATACGAACCGATATCTGCACTCATGATGAATTTGCTAAACCAAATGTTTCATATTTATCAAGATATGTCACACACATACTAAACATGAATTTTTTTAATGCAATTTTGCAAAAAAATTCTGCAGTGGCAGAATGTATGTGAATTTGTAATAAATATCGTTATAAAAACAATATGATTACGTGAATATATATTGATATTTCGTATGTTATTCAATAATGAAGCTCGTGTTCGATATAGCAAGTACACCATAAGTCGATACGGTTACCTTACATGAAAATACTTTATTTCGTTATTGTAACTTTCCAGGCCTTGGACAAGACAACACTCATAACCCGCAGTCGTTTAATTTGTTCGCAGAGCATTGTAAAATCAAATTATAGGCCTCCTAACGATAGATAAATAGGTATTGTAATCTTAGAATCAGACAGATTTATAGATATTCCGTATTGTTGTATAAAACGAAAAGTAATTTTAATTTTCATACTGTAATTCATGAAATGACATATAATGCCACCTAAATACTGATTAATTAATCATTAAAAATAATATAACACATTTTTATTATATTAACAAAAGAATAAAACAAATAATTTCTCAATTATTGTATACGATTTTTTTATCGGTGAAGTACTGTATTATATGAACAAATTATTATATTAATATAACTGATAAACTCTATCGTTCAATTTATTTTGTAAAACACTGCATCACTTTTTCACATTTTTCTCCGCGAAATATCTACAAATCTCTAGGATTCTCATAAACTGAGACAGTGTATCGTGTATTTTAGGGGTATTATTAGTTAGGTATAGGTAAACATTGCCTATGTACAATCGCAACAAGGTTGCGCATACTACTTCTTGGCAATTCTAAGTAAAGCTTACAGTTTGAATAAACTTCTTTAGGTAATTATACTTTTAATAAGTAAGTAATAATTCTATTAGAAATAACAGTACAATATCTGACTGTTATCATCATTCATCAGCCATTTACAAGTGACATTCTCTAGGTCAAAGTATTCTCATACATCTCGTGCATGTTTTGGTTCTGAGAAATAATTAGGAGAATTATTTTACTATTATAACTGGCCAATAAGTATCTGCCACTTTTCTTATATTATTACTCTATTTACGATATATACAAATAATATACAATAGTCGCGCTTAATACAAGTAATATTAAAATCTAAACTTCAATAATGTTATAGTAGTTATATGAATAGAAACTTGACTCTAATCCTTCACTGTGCGCTAGCGTTGCACATTGGAATATAAATACATTTTTATATAAAATTTGTATAATCTACATCTTCGCGCAAGTCGCTTTAAGTATATATTCTCTTTTAATCACAAAAGATACAAATGTTTATAACCGCTACATAAGCAGGGGGTCTTGGGCGGTATCACTCTGGCAGTATCTTTTTTTTTTTTTTCTTTTCATATACGAGTATCTGATTTACGTTCTCATTAAACGGTAAATCAGTGTACCGCTACATCGTGCAAGAAGATATACAGAATTTATTTTCGCATACTGAGTTATTGCAGTTGTTATCAAGTATTTGCGAAAATAATAAGTTCAAGCGCTCTTGTACATGCATAACTATTCTGTGATACACATGTGACATTACATGTTTCCTGCGAAAAATTTTGATTTTTCCTCTCTGTGTAAGATTTGATTGTATGCAGATTATATTGAACCGTTTCTCAAGCCCTTCCATAAATATTGCTATTAACTATTTGTACAAGTAAAATAGCAATATAGTTAATTAGAGATACATAATTACATATTATGATTAGCTATATCAACCTAAAATAGTTTCAAAATGTATCTGTTTGTACATAAATCATCTAGAGATACACATATATTAACACACATCAAAATGTGAAAATAAATTCTATATGTGCAAATATTCTGATGTATCTTCAGAGGTTAACATCATAAGATGTGGTATAGAAAATCATATCCAAAATAGAAAATTGTAATTTAGAAATATTTTTTACCTGCAAAGAAATCTTACAAATGATAAGATTTGCTTATTAAATATTTGGAGTTAAGTGCATATGTACATATCTTTTCGTCATATATTTACAGGAATTGTAGCTCCTTATATGAAGCTAAAGTTTTTTCAAAATAGTAAACGTATCATACTTAAAAGCGTTTACAAATCAATTATTATGTTTTTAAAAGTTACATGTGCAGTTTTTATCTCAGGAGATACATCATGTTTTTATTAATTTCCAGTGTGAAGCCCGATATCCCCTAATTCACTTTTGTCTGTTGCTACGACTTACTTAAATGAAAGGAACACTATATGCACAATATCCATCAATAGGCAAAATTTGCCAACAGATGAATATCTTACTTACCTCCATTAAAATTTATTTACAAAAGTATGTCTGTACAATTATCTTTCTGTTGCGACATAGGTCTATCATAGCCTTGAATGCGAATAGACCGGTTTTCATGTGTAAAGATGTTATTGTAGGAACAACTTCCAAATATCTCAAACTATAATTACAGTATAATTTTTCTTTTAAGCAAATGTTTAAAAATGATTCAAAGAAAATTTTTTACTATAATCGATTACAATAAAGTAAATATATAAAATAATTATACAGAAATGCAACCTCAAGACAAATGCAATATATTTTGATCATTTTTTAAATAAATTTTTTCTATCAATCGTGATCATAATTCACAGTGACATATCAACTGAATATTAATACGATATCGTGAAATCTTTGTTTCAATATATTTTTGTTTTATATATTGTTTAACAAGCTATTAATAGACATTGTCAATAACATACATTATTATATATATATGATATACTAAATTATATATATATAATAATGTATATGTCCATATAAAACAGAATGTTGTTCACAATAATATCTTTAGCTAGTATGGTGTTTTTTCGTTAAAAATCATTCTTTAATTCTAAGTCGCCTTAACTTCAATAGGAATATTATAATTAGAACTAAGATTTATTTGTACCATTGATTAGGTGAGAGCACCCATAGTGACTCCAACAAAATTTGGATTTCCTCACCACAAGCGCTTACACAATAGACTTCCAAATACATTTGTTGCATCAGATTGTAAATCGGATATTTTGCGCAACTCATTTGAGTTCACAGAGCCTTAAGAAATCTGCGCGAGTAGTAGTATACTATACCCAAAATTATGTTTGCAGCGAGATGTTAATCTTCTCCTCTTCTTCATCGTTTAAATAGTGGGGTTTTATTACATGATTTCATTATTTTATGAAATATTCACTCGTCTCCTGTCTCTTTTCTTAATCAAAGAGTGCCAATATGTCATCGCTGGAAGCAGGATTACTACTGCTAGCCCCACTACTAGGTGGTGTATTTAGATCTGGTGGATCAAGATACGACAAGAGTTCCATCGTATCTACGTTGTCTGGTAAAAGCTGCAATGGCACAGAACACACGTTGTTATACGATTTTATAAAATGTTTCGATTCGAAGAAATATTCTGGCTCGAAAAATACGATATACTTACATTTAATGCCTCTTGACCGGTACCTTCCCCGTCTATAACTGCAGCGGGATCAAAATTCAAGTCTGACGGTATATCCGTCGCGCTGTCATTACTTATGTTCGTGTTCGTATTGCCAGACGTATTATGGTTTCCCGTGGATTCTTGCGATACAGGCGGAACGCTTGGCGGACCGCTGGCTCCACCAGCCGGTGTGTGAGGAGTGGATTGTGGAGTGTGCGGTGTATGCGGAGTGTGAGGCATCTAGAATGCATATAATGATATCACACTTAATAGCTGTTTTGCTGTTAAAATATATATATTTTTAATTTATTTTCATTCACTATTATTTTACGTTAAACCGTATAGCGAAGCGTACCTGATCATTAAGTGACTTCTCCATGGCATTGAGAGGATCTAAAGAATTAACGGATTCGTTTAAGTGTGAGAGAGGGCCTGCTCCATTACCATAATCATTATTGCCGATAGTATTCGCCCCCGAGTTTATCTCGTATGTTCCACCCGACGTATTCCGATGGTTTATACTATTATTCGCGTACGTAGAAGATGTATTATTCATCATCGAACCGCTCACAATGCTGCTCATATCGGGTGGTATGTAGGGACTCATAGCTTGATTCATATCCCAATTGTTCATAGTCGGCATATTCATACTGTTCGGTGACATGGCCTTAGTCGTTCTCTTACAATCGCTCTCTTCTTCGGTTTTAATATTATTTAAGATCTTCGCGGGTTTCCAGTTAGCGGTCGAGTCTATCGTTACTTCATCAATTTCCGCAGGATTACAGGTATTCAGAATACCCCACATATATTGATCAACTTCTAAACCTTCCAGTGGCGCAGATTTCCTGAAAAATTTTGCAGATTAAAAATTTGCACATGCTCGTGTTTTTTTAGTAGAACATAATATTGGTATAAGAATAAATAAAATGTACATTTTAACATTTTAAACCATTTCTTTTCTTAAAATATAACATTTCAATCCCAGTAAATTCTAGGCCTGTCAAATAAGATATACAATTCTGAGGCATACTATAATATTTGTTAGGATAAAACTTTAGAATGTACATTTACTTCATTGCAATGCATTGAAATTTTATTTTAAAGAAATGGTCTAAAATTCTAAATTGTAAGATCTAATGCATTACGGTAAAGTTTTAAGAATACCAAATCATATAATATAATTCTAAGGTGTAAAAATGAATAAAATATATCGATAACATGCTTTTTTAAGAGAGGAATCCTAACGGATGCATAAAAATTATTGGCAATTAATCAATACTTACGTGCACACTGGACACCTCCAGTTACCTCGTTCGCAATTTAATTGCAAATATGATTCCAAATCAAAACACTGTATATGTTTGCATTCGTGTCCTCTAGCTGGCAGTGTAATGCGTTTGAAAGTTATAGGACATTTTAAAGATACCTGTAGGCAATAAGATGTACATAACTGACATCTCACATTAGTCTCAGGATTAAATAGAAGCTTTGGAAGGTTTGTGAATTTTACCTTTAGTGCTGTTTGTTCCACTACATCTTTCTCTGACTGTATACCATTGTTCGAGATCGTATTACTGAAATTTCTTTTGATTTTGGATATACAATTATCAGCCATTAAAAGTCTTTTGCGTAGTAAGCCATGAAGTACGCTTCGCACACTTGGTCGATGAACCAATTGGAGTACGAACAAATGTGACTGTAAACAACGAGCCTAAATAAAAGGAGAAAGCAATTGTATATAAAAAAAAAACAAAAAAAACAAAAAATATAATAAAATTTTTATAAGCTTAGAACTAATAAGTAAAAGATGTATATTTTATGTACAAATAAAATATTATAGATATAAAAAAAAGAAAAAAAGTTAATCTATATGAAGCAAAAAGTCATGCTTGAATATGTTGAAGATTCATTAACAAAAAATACATCTTTATTTCTAAATTATGTAAACAGCATTGTTTAATTATTGATATCTTCAAACTTACACAACAACAAGCGGCTACGGTGATCTGTATTGTATTCCTGCCTGGTTGACAGACGTCCTTCAAGTAAAGAGGCTTGTGAGAACTTTTGTTCTCTCCGCGATCGATTATGAGAGGAGTCGCGTTAACGGAAACTTGCACACTCGCCGGCCAATTCGTATTCATTTGCCTATCTTCATGGTGGAAACATTTAAGTTGCAGCTCCAGATCCGAGCGCCATGCTAGCGTTTGATGCACAGTAGGCTTCAGTTGGAACACGTGATTGCTAACAGCCAAATTGTGCTCTAGACGGAAGGGCGGAAGTATGATGCCGTCTCGCACGGGGAATGTTAATCTCAATTGATCATCTGGAACATCTAGCGACGGGATCTCAATATAGTAGGAGAATTTGCGCATGTAATGCAAGCGTTAAGTTTTGCAACATTTTAGATTTAACGCAACAACTGCTATTGTGACATAGATATTCTAAATTTGATTATATGACATCATTCTAGACTCAAGGTATAGTTATAATTTCTCAATAGTATTAAAATATAAAATCCAAGATCTACTCACTTGGCATATTGACGGCTGTCTTGATGTCGTTGAAGTTGGGTTTGATGTCGTTGAAGTTAGGCTTGATGTCATTGAAGTTAGGTTTGATATCCGGATTCGGGCTGATGTAAGGCGGAATACTAGTGGCAGGTGTTAATGGGGGCGTCGGATTGCCGGGAATGGGACTGTGCTGATAATTCATATTGCCCCCATTCGTCGATCTCATCGATGCCACATCCTGTTGGTATTGACTGGTCGCCACGGTGGACGCGCCGTACGATGCGTTACCGCCGCTATATCCCGGGTTCGGTTGATGACCGACGAACTGATTGCCGACCGAGGTGGGGGGTGGAACCATCCCATGGCAAACACCCGGAACGCCGTTGTTGGGATAGTTTACTACTGTACCATATTGGTGGTTCACAGTGGTTGCTTGAGATGCGGTATTGTAAGCCGGCGTCGTTTGCCTCATATTCGCCCCCCGTACCATCGCGTTGGGCCCGAAACCAGCCGCCGTGGGATTCATGTTCTGCATAGGTTGATATTGCTGCTGAAAATTCGGCCTCGCTCCGGTAGGATAGTTGTTCGGATATTGAGTCGCCGTCATGCCGTTGAAGCCCTGCTGCATAGCTGCTGGATTCTGAGTAGCGTACGGAATCTGTCGCTTTTGCATGTGCATATTTGGAGTCGGATAAGGTGCTAGCCTTCGTGGATAGACGGTTCCTTGATGCGTCTGAGACTAGAAGTGTAAAAGCAAACGTTAGTATAAAAAAAAAACCAGACACATTACTGATCGAAATAATTAAATGTGTGTTCAAAAGATCGATAAAATATAAAAAAAATTTTAGCGGCAAATATAATGCTTTATACAACAAATAATACGATCGTAAAAATAGCTCACAAGTTATTATTTTTTTAACGAATCACGACAAACTCAAAATACTGTAGCTAATAATAATTGTATTCAAATCGCCAGCGGTCGTTAGATAAATACCTGCATCTTGTTCATTTGCATATTGTTGGGTCCCATCATGTTGTTCATGGGCATGTTACCCATGTTGCTCATGGAGTTCATGGGTGTCATTCCGTTCATAGCAGTCATACCGTTCATCCCGGTCATCCCGTTCATTCCTCCCATCGTCATAGGATTCATTGTGTTCATGCCATTCATACCGTTCATCGAATTCATGGAATTCATAGTATGCATTGGGCTCATCGTGCCCATGCCGTTAAAATTGTTCATCCCAACTGGCCCCATTCCTGCCATTGGTCCTCTTTGGCCGTACCCTGCGTTGTACGTTTGGTGGGGTAGTTGGCTCTGCATCTGGTAAGAACGAATATTCCCATTTAAAAGTTCATAAAATTCTTGAGGGAAAAAAAAAATAGCTTTGTTGAAGAAACGCAAACTCTGAAATAATTTTCTTATTATAAAAAAAGGAGAAATTAATGGAAAAATTTGAATCGGATGCTTATTCCACCAATTCGTGTCGCTCACAATTAGCTTTTCTGAGTGACACAAAGCGCTCTATTGCTGTGACGTATGAAGCAGAATTCCCCGTAGTCACGTCACGCGATAACGTCTTGAGTGTTGGCCAAACATTTACCTGATTGAATTGCGCGGGGATGTCCTGCATAGGGCGGTCCTGCATGGCCACCACGCTGGCAGTGGCGGTGGCCGTAGCGGAGGCAGCTGCTACCATCGCCGCGACACGAAGTGGCGAACCACCCCTTCCGCTTTGGGGTGGCGTTGTGTTATGATAACCGGATGATAACGGCTGCACTCCGACGCCGATCGTCGCCGTTGTTGATAGTGTCGCGTCACCGCTGGACCCTCGGAGAAAGAGCTCTCTTCACGAACGATCTTCACGAGGTAGATGCGAACGCGCGGCTTATTGGCGCACTGAAACAGAGAGCATGACTCATCTTAACCCTCCTGTGCGAGATAAAATTATCTTTTTGGAGAATCACGGTGTGCGTCGGTGTTCGTTATAGAAATAACTGTGCGTTAGAAACTGCGGAGTTGGCGTATCAGTTGCGAGTAGTAAAGTGTGACGCAAGCATACGATTGGCGTTTCGATTCTATTTGAGTCTATATTTGAGTCCTTTCAGAACCGTTAATAGCAATACATACAATTCTTTTAACGATGGAAGATCGATATACAGACGATAATAAAATGAAGAATGTTATCGAAATTAATAATTTTTTATATTGAAAACAAATATTGGATTTTTTACTTGAAAATTTTTTCGGGATTAAAGTCGCCGTAGAAATATAATTTTTAAATTCAATTACTATGATATATTAAATTCATATAAATTACAGGATTTTAAATTCGCAGAATCATCAAATATTTTTTTTTTTTTTCGTGAGATACGAAAAGCATGAATCGATTTATTATCAAGTATTAATAAAAAACTTTATACGTTAATCTGTACAGTATTAAATAATGCGTACTTAAAGTGTAATAATTACTACATCGTCTTAGATTATTTGAAATGATCGGGTTTACAACGATATAATGCGCAATGAAGGATAATACGTCGTCAATCATGCTGCCAAGAGTTAAATCGGTTTAAATGGCAGTGTGAACTTTTGCATTTGCGACAGAAAAGTGGTTACCATTTGCCAAGTCAAGATCATACTCGTGCAATCGATTCCCGCTAGGAACGAATGGATTTCTGCCAATCGATACAGCCTGTGTGTTTGATGTATCGTAACCGATCTTTATTTCATAATCTGCGACGTAGTAATAACACGCTGGAATTATTCACGTTACTTGAATAATTCGAGAAGGTCACATTTTTTGCGCTCGGCGTCGTTCCGTGTAAATAAATATGTTCATGACGATAAGAATTCAAGATTCTCGAACACATTTTTTGTAATTAAATGACAGACGTTGATTTTTTAATATTCCTCGAAAATATAAGACAACAGTAAAATAAATAAAAAAAGACATCGATTTTATTTCTTATAATTTTATCAGTAAGAGCCTTATTATATTTGGCATTTGTTGCAGAATACAAAAAGAAAACTAAAAAGAAAAATGCTTATTACGTATCGATATTGCCCGCATTAGGAATGAGATCAATATTTCAATACAATCAATAATTTTCTTACAATATCGTAACATTAAATAACACAGATTTTTTGTTTCTAGAAATACAATCGATATAAAAATATTTTTAAACGTTTTGTTTTTAAATAAATTATTTCATCAATTTCAAGTGATAAAATAACACTTTTTCCTATTTAAACAATAATTTTTTAAATAATTGCTTTATATTTTAATTAATTTCCACGATCAATAATTAACTATCTAACATTAAATTCGATGTTTCTTCAATATTCGTTCATCGTGGCACCGATAATGCGCTGACAATATTCAAATGCATAAAATTATCGATATTCTTTAAAGATGGCCATCCCTGGTGCGCACCCCGACCGAGCAAAGCGAGTGAAGCCAAACCCCGACCGTGTTCCCAGCTGGTCACACTACGCCGCGTAGCCCCCATTGCTTTTCTGTGGGAAATGCACGTGCTCGCTATTCACACACCGCGCCGCGTCGCGCCGCGCCGAGTCGCGCGCGTTCATAATACGTGCCTTACCCCGCACACGCTGCCACAAACACGGAGGACGGCCGTGCGAGAGAGCTCGGGAAGCGAAGTCTTCCACCGATGCACGATTTCCGATGGGTTCGGATGTTACACTAAACAGGATATTCATTCGCCGCGTAAAAGAATTTCGTCGTGTAAACATGAGAAAACTAAAGACACGAATAAGAATTTGACGAGTACAAAATTTCGAGCTGTAACAAATATTTTGGCGATCGAGAAATTTGTAAGATTTTAGACAAATTTGGCAGAAATTTATTTTTAAAGGGTTCTTTGAATTTACTGTTCTATTTTTGTAACTGCTAAAAATGTCAAGATAAAGTTGTTATTTTCACATCAACAAGACATATGTCTGTATGTATAATATATATATGTATATATGTTTAAATAAAATTAAATACTGCAAAGAGAGAAGAACTAGTATACATACTAAGCTAAAAGGAAATATTAAAACTCTAGGACATTCTGCGCAGGGAAACCTGCCTGAGAACCCTCCAATTGAAGGGTTTGGATCAATAACATAAGTCATACGAGAACGCTTGTTGCGCAGAAGTTTTGCACGACTTTCTCTCTCGTAGTGATCGTTATCGTTCTAAATCCAACTGTTTTATAAAAAAGAAAAAAAAAGGAACAAAGAAAATGTGCTAACGGTAACAAAAGCGCAAAATACAATACATCCGAAGCCAGGACAAATGAATTTTTCATATTTAAACCACAGAGTCGTAACAGAAACCACTCGTCATACCAGATTCTTAAATGCAACAGTTGCGTGGCAACCATTAATGTTACCAGTCCAGACTAGCGTATGTCAAGAAGCACGCGTGTAACGCGGCGTGTCTTCGTGATATCGGATTACCACGTGCTTACGGTAAGTTTTGCGCGTGCCCACGGACACCGTAATGCTTGGCTTTGCGCAAAAGCAGAAACGCGTCCTTATCTGACGTTACCTGATTCCCCGTTGCATAAGCTTTCACGTGGATCCGTTTACGTCGAGTCGATGTTTATATGCACGTATCTGCCCCAAAATCACCGGATGTCTTCTCGACCGTAACATAAAGATAGCGAAACTAAGAAGACCGTTTTTTAAGTCGATTTTTATCGCATTATCGGTATTTAAATATTAAAAAAAATTTTTTTTTTCAAATATGTTAAGTTTATAATTCTTAAAAAATTGTTTTAAAAAATGTAATATTGTTATGTAATATAAAGATTGTTTTTAAAATTATTTTTACGTGCTTTGTAGCACTAAATGTTTTTCATTTCCATTTGCGTGACAACAATGATGAAGGAGACTGGAAAGTAAGGCGGCGGATTTTAAATCAAGATCTCGCTCACGAACTTACTTCCACTCACTTAAACTTAGTGTTCTAACACTTTTAGTTGTCTGAGAGCAGTTTTCTTATGCTTCGTCACTGTACTTTCTCTGGAGTGCGGCTTTTAAATTTAATAAAACAATTTGCCGAATATGAACAATCTATTTCAATACATTCTTTTGATTAATTAAGGCAAGACGAGTTTCTCTGATTCTAAGCTTTAGTCAAAATCTTTGAGGTAAAATTCGCGATATTAAAAAATTTTACATTAACGTTATATTCGTGGGACTCATATCTCAAACAAACATAGTGCAATTGATTATACCAGACAATAACACTCGCAAAGTAATCCGTCGACGATAAGATACTAACTTCACGTTTTTCAAAATCCTGATAATAAGATAATAAGGTGGTCTGATTGTCTAGACTCGAATATTCATATATTCATATATTGAAATATTATTTATTACAAATTATTTCTTAGTTTCAGGATAAAGTATCATATTGATAATTATTAGTAGACTATTTATTAAGAAGAAAAATCAAAAGTAGATTTAATTTTTCAGGCGCTAGTGTGTCTAATGGATTAACGATGTTGTCGATCTCGTCGATAAAATCATATCTATTTGATCAGCCTCTTAAAAGCGTCGCAGATCAGGTGTCCTGTCCGGTCTATCGTTGATTTCACAGGTTGGCAATTTATTTCACATCCGCGTTCAAGTGCAAACGAGCGATAAAACGCGCAAAGATAAACAAAATCGATGAAATCGCGCGGATTCGCGAACAAAACAAACACGTATCCAGACACATGTCAACAAAGTTTTACAAAGTAATTTTTTCATTATTCGTCTGCAAACTTGAGGGAGACTTCTCTGCTTCTCTCTCTCTCTTTCTTTTTTTGTTTTCAATCGCAGACCGGCGGAGAAGGTTCTCCGTACACGCGCTGTCCTCGAGACGCGATTATGACGCTCGAACAAAAACAAATTTAATAGCCTCTCCGTTCTGTTCAATACGGCGCAACGAATACGGGAGCACACGAACACACGCGTAGTACGAACGTACGAACGCGCCATGTGATCTACGAGGGGCGAGAATCGGGGACGTTCAACAGCCTAGGGAAAACGGGGGAGGGAGGGGGGGCCGATCGATCGATTAACACGTGCCGCTTTAAATGTTTGGGAACTGTAAAGTACTCGATGATCACAGACGATGTTGCTAACGACATTTTATAGGCTCGTGGATAAAATAAAAATATAATTTCGACGTACTTTTTTTTCTTCGAGCCGATATTCAATTTTAACATAAAGATCGCTCTTTATACCTAATCGTATCCGCGTTGTAATCGCACTTTTAATAATAAAAAGTATAATTTCGCACCATAAATCAAAACCTAATCCTTCCTGGATTTACGACGATGTAGCTGGAATATTCATTCTTTTTCATTTACAGAAAATGTATAGTTCCAAAGGTTCTATGCTAATATTAAACTGTTATTATCGATTCTTCATTGACAAGAACTGCCAATCAAGGTTTTATTTATCATCGACATATCGGAAGCATCGTGAATAAATGATACATTATCAAACAGTCGTATTGCTTAAATTATTATACAAACTCTGAAACAATGCACTTCAGCGCGTTGCACCATCGTTCATTATTCTGCCGTATCAATGTATAACATTTCCGATTGCGAAATAATTTCCACCCAATCATGTCTAGCGTATAATATTTCGTTTGTCATCCGAGCGTGTTCGAACGTTCATCCTCCCCAATCTGCCGGGCAGCGCGCGCGGACCGTGCATAGCGCACGCGTTTTTCGTGCGTGTAACGCTCACACAAACTCGTCCAGATATAGCGCGTACAGAGAGGGAGCGATTCGGAGGTTGACGTCATCCACGTCCCACCCCCTTTAAATTCATGCTGAATGCGACTACGACGACCGACCCAGCCTCTGCCTTTTCCCTTCGTTTCTCTT